AATAGAAATAGTTCACATTCTTTTTTTTGTTTTGTTATCTTGATTTTAAAAGACAATATGCCAGAGCCAATTTTTTTTTTCTGGGTGGGGTGGTGCTTAAAAGCATTTATCATCATAACTATTCTAATGGAAATTCTGTTGGAAGGGTAAAGCTTTGTGTACTAAATTTATACTTGTTTGATTAGTTCATTTAGCATAGAAATCAATGATTTTTATTCCATGGAACATTGGCTTTTGATTATACTTAAAAAAGTTTAAAAAAAAAAAAAATAACGAAACATTCTTCCTTTGTTGAGACAAAATGAAAGTTTGATCAACAAGGTCTGAGAAAGATAATTTTCAAAATGTTTGTGAAAAACTAAAGCCAGCATGATGTACAGTAATAATTAGTATCTTGGTCTTTCATTACAGCAGTGAGAATGAGGAAGATACCACACAGCAAGATGATGACAATGAGGAAGATGAAGAAAACGATTCCCAGGACAGCACTGTCCAGTCTGATACAGAGGAAGATGTCAATGATGAACTGAATGAAAACCCAGAGGAGGATGTGTGTGTGGGGTGTAAGACTCCAGGAATGTTGATATGTTGTGACTGCTGCCCCAGGGCCTATCACTTGCATTGTGCTAAACCGCCTTTGAAAAAGGTAAGATCAAATTTTAAAGATGATAGAATAATGTGATAGTTTTGGTAAGTGCAAGACTCATCCTATCCTTGATGGTTTCTTCACACAGTATTTATTGGGAGCTCTTATACACTCATTGGCACTAAATAGACTTAGAGGTCTTTTTGATAACCTATAACTGTCTTATTAACTTGAATTAGAATCTAAATTTCTACAAAGCTTATATCAACTCACTCTACTTGTATGTTTAGTTAAAAGTTTGTACATGTTATTTCTCCCACACCCAGTCTTGGATCAAGTGGAATTGTGCACAATTATTTCTTGTAACTGACAAAACAAAAATCAATAAAAAAACAACAAATTAATTAATTAACCATTGGCAATTACTTATTTTGTTTGGTACATTAATTGTACTTGACAGATGTGGTTATAAGTTAAATAAGTCCCCATTATACTCTGTGTCGAGAGGTGTCGCTTAAAAGTGGGAAACTAATAATTGATAACTATATAACATTGTTTTTTTCATAAGCACTTCACTGGCACAGTGGTTAGTGTATTAGCTTGAGGAGGTTTCTATTCCCTAAATTCAAACTTTTAAAAGACAAATAGTTATTTATTGTAATACTTGGCATAATGATTGATGTCATAAACATTGATTAGATATGTCTGAAATTGTATATTATAGTTATTTTTTATTTATACATATTTAACTGTATCTATTTTCTTTAGGTCCCTAAAGGAAAATGGATGTGTCAAGTATGCATGGGCATTGAAAGAACTGGTAAAATTAAAATAAGCAGTGGTAGGGGAGGTAAAATGAAAGGCAACAGAACTAAGGGTAAGTTTTTTTTTTTTTTTTTGTAAAATTAAGGACAATACTTGACATTGCATATTATTATGAAATAAATTAGCGTCTCTCAATCTGTGAGATTTGCCGCCTAGTCATGCTGATAAGGGTTTGGAAGCTGTCTTTTTTTTTTCCTCTGGAAGCCTTGTAGTTATTTGAATATTAATCAAGTAAAATTACATAAAAACTACATTATTACCAGTGTTTAGGAAATGACATTGTTTCATCAACTATTTTAGCAAGTGGCATTTGCATAAAAATTGTTTCAGTTGTTCTTTTGAGGGAAACATTTTAATGTCTTCACCAATGTGATTCTAATCTACCTGTCTTTCTTACATTAAAATGGTTACATTTCTCACAAGTAAATTACCATTGTTCTGTAGATATCTTTTACATGAGCATAACAGATGGATGAACTGTCAAGCTCTTTTCAAGCTCTACTGCCTTGAATGTCTATTACTCTTCAGTTGTGACCTATCCCACCCTCCTTAATTTAACTTGCACTCTTTTACTTTACTATAAAAGGCATTATTGTAGCTCAAAATGCTTGACTTTAGACTTTTATAGACTAAGGGATTGGGAGGTGGGGAGGAAACAAGTTAAATTTGTTTGGTTTGTCGGGTTAGAGTACCTCACATAATGCTTTCAATTGTACTATCTTGTATTTTGAATAAAGAAAAAAAATCAGCTAATGGAAGTCATCCAGGTTCAAGAAAGGAAAGTCCAAGAGACAGCCCCATGTTAGGCAGGCCTAAAAAACATCAATCACCATCACTAACACCGAAACAACCCAAGATGAAGAAAAGCAAATCACATTCAAGATTCTCTTTAGATTCAGCAGATGGTAAGACTTAAATGTCAGAAAAAATTTTCTTTGTTACTTATGTGTATGTAATTTAAAAGCAGTATTTTTTTTTTACGAGGGAAATAATCGAGATAACAAGTTTGAACCTATTTTATTTTGTAGAAAAATAAACCAAATGAATTAATGTGGTGTTTGTGTCAAAGTTTTGAGAGACATTAATGAAATCATGAGTTCCATGTTTTTATTTGATTCCCAACAAATGTTGGAGAATAGTTAAATCTAAATAATTTTTTTGTTTAACACTTGGTGAAAGCTGAAATTATTTTGTGGAGACTTCACAAACATCCTTAATATAATAAATTTCTCTTTAAGTACAAAGGTTGATTTGTTATGATAATTTTCTGTTTAATTCTTTAATTCTAGACAATAATCCAATCATACGACTCATGAAACCTATAAATCCAAGTTCCAAAAGGGCCAATAACCATCAGCAACAAATGAAGGCGGCAGAGGAATTGATCAACGAACTGATAAAACATGAGGATGCCTGGCCATTTTTGAAACCTGTTGATAAGAAGCTGGTAAAATATTTAAAAATGTTAAAAAAATTAACTTATGATTAACTTTAAATAATCCACCATCTGCACTCTAAGTAAGTGCTACTTTCACTACTTTTTACTTTTTTTTGTATAAAACTTTAACTTAGAATTTGCAATTTGAGATAAATAAAAAAAATTGCAATAAGATATTTTAATAGAAGAGCTGCAATAGGGCAGGTAAATTTCCTTATGGATAACGATTATTATTAAATAGAAAGTTGCCATGGAGAGGCAAACAGAAGAGTTATGGGACTGGCAAATAGAAGATTTGCATTATGGCAGGCAAATAGAAGAGTTGCATTATGGCAGGCGAATAGAAACAATTTAGCTCATAGAAACAATTTAGCTCATAGAAATTTGTGTACACAACATACAAAGTTTAAGCTGTAGCTTTGATATCTTTGTATGTTTTTGTTTTCAAAACTTTTGTTGAATCTGTTTTGATCATTTTTATTTCAGGTTCCTGATTATTATAGTGTCATTAAAAAGCCCATGGACTTTGGCACTATCCGGAATAAAATACATGCATTTAAATACCAGAAGCCCTCTGAAATGCTTGATGATGTTCGCCAAATTTTTGACAACTGCATAGAGTATAACAATAGAAACAGTCCAGAATATAAAGCTTACTTCCGGCTCTCAAAACATTTTGACAAACGCTTGAAGGAAATGTCATTGGCTGAGGACATATTAGACTCTTCAAAACTTCAAAACAGAGGACGTGTATCAGTGTGATCTTCAAATGAGATGATTGTGAAATCAACAACTGATGACTATAACAAGAGCAAGCATGGTGTATTTGTACTGAAACTAGGTTAGTAACATTGGATAAAATAAGTTGAAAGTAGTTGTAATGAGAAATATAAACATTTGATGATATGCTTTCCATTAGAATATTTATTGACTCAATGTTCTTACTAAATTAATGAATTTGTACAATATCTGTTAGAGAAATATGGGATTATATCAACACCTTGTATGTTAATTGTTTTTAATCAACCATAATTTTGGTTATTTGAACACTAGGATGTAGTTTTGTTTTGACTTTGCCTTTATAAGTGTTGGCTACCATGCTCCCGGTTGAAGGAGACTTGATTACAATAAATTGACAAAGCAAAATGAAATGTACACACATTTCTACATGATTTGTGGAGTTTTCTTTGGTCTGGTGAGTTGAAAGGCTGCTATGATCACCAAGTGATTAACAACAACGTTTGAATGTAAATATGTGTTTTAGTAAGAAACATTGAATGGATCATTTTATTGTCTTGTCCAATGACTAAATGTACATATATGTATATAGATATTGAGCAGAAGGTTTCAAAACATTGACTTTGGAACTTTGTATGGTAAATAAAACATTCCCAGAGAACAGTTTAGCATTAAATAGAATTAATTAACAAATTTTCTACACATTTTAATTTATTCCTCATCATCATATTAGAAATCTACAAGTTAGTCTTGTACTTGAATGGGTTGGTATTGATCTTGACAGGTTTTTAGGAAATCACTGTAATGCTCTCAGCTCTTAAATAAAACTTGTATAAGGCACAATCTTTACTGGGTGCTGTTGATACTAAGTTTTGTTCTGGCAATATATATATATATATATATATATGAAATATCGCAAACTTCAAGTGTTGCTTTGGCAATGAACAGAAACCATTAACACTCTGTGTGCATTCTGAACATTGTTTTTCTTTTTTTTTGAAGTTGTTAAATCTCTACTCATCTAGAATCAGCTACTAGCTTTGAAGAAAAGTACTTTAATTCAACTAAAATCTGCTTCTAAAGCAAATTATATGCATTTTCTAATATTAAGACAGGAAATCTTGTTAGTTTTTATAATCAGACAAGGTAATGATATATATATATATTTAAATATACTTATATATCTATATATAATGATTTGTATTTGAATTCATTTGTATGAACAGGCAAAAAAAACAATTTTTTCTTGTTGGAAACTAGAACTGATCTTTAAATAATTTGTAATGAATTTTATATCTCCATATTTTTTAAAGAATATTTCAATTAATAACAACTATATGTAGTGTGATTATTCTTAGTGATTAAGAATGAAAATGTTATACATAATTTCTTCTAATGTGTTCATGATGTATACTGAAATAATTTAAGAAAGAGGAAAATATTTTTTTAAAAAATAGATTAAAAAAAACAACAACCAACAATTAGTTGTATACTCCGTCCAAGTCTAGTTTCCTGGATTTGTATTACATCTGTTTCAAAGTTGTACTTCATACACTAAATAGAAAATATTTAGTCATCTTTTGTTATTAGCTTAGCATGTACTTGTTTTGTACCAGGTTTTTGGAATCTTGGGTTTAGTTTTTAAATAAAGTTGTCAGAAAGCTGATTGTGAAGGGCAAGGATTTGGCAGGAGACACAACTGGTTGCACACCCAATTGAACATGAGAAGAGTAATCCTTTGAAGTCTGCCTAACTCACCCCTTTGTAGAATGAGGATGTGTTGTTTATAATACATTATTTCGTAGCACAACTAATATATATACAGACAAGTTATGCACAAGTCTGGACTAAAAAATAATATATATATATGTACTGAGATGACATGTTTGTATTGTAATAATAGCGACTGCCCTATTTCTAATAGCAGCATTGAAATTTGATTGAGCTAAGCATTCATTTGTAATTCTCCCTTTTAAATGTTTAACTAGTTCTGTAATGTGTCTTTAAAGACATGGGAGGTGATTGATTCAGGTAATATTATTTCTGATAATCTATAGATTGAATCATAATCATTCAGTTTTATTTCATTAGCACTGAAACTTCATTTAGTTTCACCTGTAGTTTAAATTTGTGAAACTTCTCTTCGCCCTATGCTATTATACAATGAACACTCTATTTACACTTAGCGCTATGAGCAAGGGAAGCATTTAAATATCAGTCATTACAGCTTGTATAAAAGTGCTATTACAATAAAGAATGTTCGAACTAAGATTTTGTTTTACCCAAATTTGAATAAAAAATGAATTTTAGTTAAATCGGGTTAAGATATTTTCAACTTTCTTGAATGAATCTGGTTTATTACACTTCTCTTTGTTTTTCTATACAGATATTTTGATTCTATACTGTCTACAAAGTTTGAAAGTCAAGTAATGTGCATGAGTGGAGTGATGTTGTACTGAATGACTGTGTTTGTAAGGAGCAAATGATATTTTATATTTTTCTTTAAGGAAATAAAAGAATTTCTCAAAACTTTTGTACAGTCTATGTTCATTGAATTAGTATTTAACTTACCTAATGGTACATCTTATTGTATTAATGACATACTAATGATTGAAATATTTGTAAGAATTTATTGATGATAAATAAAACAAAAAAAGTCAAAATGTCTACAGAGTAATACAAATGTTTTCCTCAAAACTATAGAAAGAAGCTGTACACAGTTTGAACATATGTGGATAGAACAGCACCGGAGGGATGTAATAGTGTCATACAATTTCAGAGAAGTCATTCCTTGACAGAAACTAGTAAAACACACATTTGAAAGGCATCGGCATCATATTATATACAGTTTCTAATTACAGGATTATGTACAAATATTTGTAATTGTGGTTTAGTTTCTTTTTCATTATCAATAAACCTTTGATTATAGGCATGTAACTTACATTAAGAAAAAAGAAAAATTACACCTTTGTTCAAAAACATACTTTAAAGAATGACCTCACGTACGATTTTTGTTATGTTAGGTACATGTTTATCAGTGTTATGTACAACAGCCAAAATGAAATAGTATATACAAACCTCAGACTGGAGGTAGCAGTCTTTGTGGCATTAAAAGTAGGTTCCAATTCAAGATGTAAGTAGAACATGATTTTTTAAAGTTTTTCAAGTGAATATAATTTAGAATACATTGCACTATGTTCTGCTTTCCATTTGAGTTTAATGTTAATTTTAATGCATTTGTCGTAGTATTTCCCACCTTTTAAAAACTTTCTTTTTTTTTTAAAAATAAAAAGCAACAAAACCTAATGACATTACATTAGGGAACTTTGTATTGATCAGTAATGGTACATAATGCCCATAAAAACAGAAACAATGAGAACAAAGCCTGACATGGTTCGGGCAAACATAACTATAAGTCAGGCATGGTCAAATAACACCTATTAAATGTAGTCTTTTTAAAATTGTGCTATTAAGCTATAGTTCACTGTTCTGTCTCAGATTTCTTGACTTTTATAGTCCAACCACATTAAATAATGAATTCATTTTATTAACACTGCCTACAAAAAATACACCAGTTGGAATGAACTATAGCTAAAACATTTTCAACATGTTGCAAGTGGCTTAAGAAAAAAAGTCTGCATGCCTTATAGTTGACAATCCTTAGCAGCAATTTTAAGGTGAGATGCAAAAAAGAAAGTGTTTTCAAGTCAACATATCAAGAGCTCTCTGACTAGGAAGGATTAGCCCATCACTACTTGTGATTTGGATCAGTCAGCGTTGTCTCAGACTATGAAGATAGCCAAAAGCAAAGAAAAAAAAGCAAGGCAAGAAATTACTGCTGCATTATCTTCATTAGTTCTTGTGCTTTGAATGTCTTCAGCTTTTCAAAGTGAATATTGAATCCACAGCCATCTTATGAGTTCATAGGAAATGAGATTATGCTAATCTTTATACTATGAAGAAGGGGCTCCTTAGCTTCATCTAATCAAATAACAAGTACTTAGTTCATTTCATTTTTTAAAAGTGCGAAACATTTTCTTGATTGGGGCCCAAAATTCTTGCTTTCCTTCATGAAGCATTTATTCTAAAAAAGATAATTTTAATGACATAAACATGAAAAGACCTAAATCGTAATGACAGATGTGTTCACTGGTCAAAGTATGCACTCAATTATTTCATTGGAATGTTGACAAAAATAAATAAATTTCAAATTTTTTTTATGTCTTCACATTTATGCAATGTAGTTTGAAATTCTGGCCTATAATAAATACCGGTATGGCAGTTTTTAATGAATACACTATGGCAGCTACAATTTTAAATAATATTTTCCACCACCTATAAAAAATGACATTGTTTAAATTACATAAATGACATTGTTTAAATTACATTACAGATATGAAGTAGCTGAAATCTGTCAAATATGCATATGTTATACATAAACATGCAAACATTTGGGAAATGTAAACATAATTTTTAATTTATTAATATAACAGAATAGTTATTGCAACTATAATTTAATGCACATAAAATAAAATCTCTCATGGTACTGTTCTTCAAAAAAAAAACTTGGCCAAGGCGTTCCAAACTTTCTTTGTCTCTATATATAGGTGTCTTGTGCACTGAGTAGTAGGAAAGTAGCTTTTCCTAAGAAAGCATAAAATCACCAATACAGCTTCTTTTTATCAAAAAATCACTTGTCAACTATTAAGCTTGAAGAAAACCTCAACGTAGTGTGTTGCAGTCACATCACTAGGACAAACTGGGTTGCAATTGATCAACAATAGGCTTACCAATGTAAGATTTATCAAAAGTATTGCACTCATGCAGGACACAACAATGGAATTGAACAGTTAGGGCTAATTAGCAAACTGGTATCAGGCTGACTAGTTCAAAAGTACATTTCTGTATCTTAACTTTTTACAATTTCAATAACTTTTCCATTTAGATTTATAATTTAACAAATACCACTTCAAACACTTATAAATAACAAGTCATACAGTCAGTATACATATTTTGTAATTTTCTGTATAAGTTTATAAGTACCAAAATGAAATATCTTTGAAATCAGTTTCTTCACAAAATGATATTGGTTAACATGTCTTCTCAGCTTGTTAAGCCCTTTGAATATTATCTAGTGTGTTGGTAAATTCATATCAAATTATTTCTTTGAGTAATAAGAACTGAACCATCCAGTCCATCCTGTCAAACTTGCTGCTGCTTTAGTTGCAGTGTTGTAAATCATTCCTGCAGTGGATGTGTTGTTATCAAGGGGTGATGAGTAGCCCATGTTGATGGTGTCATAGCTGGGCAGACTTGAAGGTACACGCTCCCAGTCTCGAGACAATTCCACATCTGCTGAGGCAGGGTCAAGGTCTTCTTCACTTTCATATTCCAGAGAGCAGAGGTCAACAGCTAAAGGCAGTTCATAATCTGGCACAAAAGGTCCACACCTTGGTAGATATTAAAAAGAAAAAAAAATTATTCAATGAAAAGATTTGTAAAATAAAGATAATAAATAACTAGATCAATAGTTGTTTTTTTTTAATTATTTTTCAAAAATTATTTTAAGGTTAATAATAAAATCAAAAAAGCTTATTTGAATTTAACAACAAAAGTAGATAATCCTAATTGTAAGAATTATTCTTCCTTAGTTATATTTGGGAGTGTCCTTACAAGAATGAGTGGATTATAAAACTCCCAGTTTTATTTACTTCTAATGCACAAATGGCTCAAAGTCTCCTGTACAAAATACGAACGCAGATACCTGCCAAGTGTGTGACACTGTACAATAGCAAGCACATTGTGAAGAGAGAGATTATTCAGCAATTTTTCAGGGTCAACATTCTGACTATATGCAAGGTGAAGAATGTTTTGATGCAAGCGCCAGACAAAATTGCAAAAATCTGACTCGTTCATATTGTCTTTGAGCTCTCTGTTAGAACATACACAAAAAAAGTAAAAAACAATATAAGCTAATTAAATTGCAGAATGTGGAAGCTAATTGTAAAACTTTTTTTTACAGTTATACATTAATGAACTAAAAAAGACAAGATTCCATATATTCAGGAATTTTATAAGTAAATTTGAATAACCTGGTTTTGATAGCCCCCAAAAAAAAGGTAATGATAAAACTTGTTAATAGTAATTCCCATAGCTTCTTCAAAGCTTTATTAAATACACTCAAACTGGATGAGAACAATTCTTTTTGTTTCTCTCTGTCAATTAAGCAACAAAATCAGGCTACTAGGACAGTTCTATCTTACTTTGGATAAATAAGTTAGTGAAATATCATGACATTGAAACAAAATCAGCCTATGAAGCTCTGACAAGGATATACAAAATTAGTTAGAGTAATGTCATGAAATTGAAACAAAAATCAGGATACTAGGACAGTTCTATCATGCTTTGGATATATGAAGTAAATTAGTGTAATGTCATGAAATTGAGATAAAATTTGAACGCAGTAAGTTTATAAGTCTATTCTCTAATACTATATACTTTTATAATCAGGTTATACATTTTTAAACATGTTAACAATTCACAAAGCATGAAAAATGTTTCAAAATATCAATAATTATGATTTTAACTAATTCAGTAACATTGATCAATTCTTACTTTAAGGAACACTTTCTGGGTAGATGAACATCTAAAACATTGGCAGCCAATGTGATGAACATTGTTGTATAGGTTAGGGCAGACTGAACACCATAGCTTGGGTTTCCAACTGGAATCTTTACTGGGTTGTCTAAGGCATACCTATTCAACATTACTATAGGAAAAAATAAATAGCAAAAAGAACATGCGCAAAAGCTTCATTTATTTTAAAAGTAATATTTGATGGTAGCTAGATCTGTAGAGCTTTGTATTAATTAATAGTAGAATATCTTTAAAAAACTGTTTGTTGTTTTTTTAAATATATGATATTGTCAGGACTGAGTGATGGTCAGTCTGTTTTCTGAGGATTCATTTTGCATAAATAATAATATCTATATAGAACTTTGGGGGTGTCGTGGCAGAAAGGTAAAGCACTTTTCTCTGAACCATGTGGGGTCTCAAGTTTGAACCCTGGTGAAACTTTAGGATTTTTAAGACACTCCTGAGTCTACCCAATTTTAATGGGTAATTGACTTGCACTGGGAAAGTAAAGGCAGTTGGTCATTGTGCCAGTCAAATGATACCCTCACTGAAACATTGGTCATAGAAACAGATGAGCTTTACATCACCTGGCCCTATAGATTGCAAGGTCTGAAAGGGAAACTTTTACTCTTTACTGTATATATCTACAATTTATTTCATCATCAAACTCCATCTGAGTGAGGGCTTGAGAGGCTTAAATCCTCTCTTACAAAAGCCCTGGACAGAAACCAGCTGTCTTGCGTAATGCGTACACGTCACCAAACAGGTAGAGAATATTTGGTTTCCCAGACATGTTGATGCGGAGATCAGCAAGTTTGAGGCAGTCAAACAGAATATGAGGCACGGTTTTCTCTTCTTCCCTGCAGCGGGACACAGTGAATCAAAATTTGGCCATAGCCGTGAGAAA